CTCCAGTTTCTCCTATTGTTGCCAACCTGTACATGGAGGAGGTAGAACAGAGAGCCTTGACGTCCTTTTCAGGGACACCACCAAGTCATTGGTTCAGGTATGTTGACGACACCTGGATTAAACTTAAATCTCAGGAAGTCCAACAATTTACTGACCACATCAACTCTGTGGAAACACAAAGTTGTAATTTAGACCATTGTTGAATGTATTTCCAAAAGTCCACAGCAAAGAACATTGTTCCTTTGCAGAAAGAGAAAACATGTCTCGTCAACTTTCTGGAACACCTCACTTGTAGTCCAGGTTATTCTTTCTTTACAAAAAACATTTACCAAAGGGCAAAAAAAGGTTAAATCATGTAATCTGGATCAATTTCTTCAAGTGAGAAACGTTTTGTCCTCCATCCAGAGGACTTAATCAGTCTACGACCTGCCAACAAGATCTGAAGGAAGCGTACACCTGTTTTTGGACTGTGGGAGGAAACCTGAGTACTCGGGAAAAACCCACACAAACATGAGGAGAACATGCAAACTCCACACAGAAAGACTCCTGGTCCAAACCGGGTATTGAACCCAGGACCTTCTAGTTGTGAGGCAGCAATGCTAACCACTAAGCTTTCAAGCTGCCCATTTGTGCGGGTGCTATAATTTAAAATCCAAACTCGGTGTAAAATAAAACAAATTTGTTTATTTTGTTGTGATGCTTCCTACCTAGTTTAGTGTACTTGCTTTTAAGCCACAATTTTATAAAAGGTTAAAAATCTTCTTAAAGAGACAAAAGTAAAAATAAAGTGTGTCAAAGAAAAAGGAACAAGATGCTAAAACCTTAAACCTGTTTTAGAAATGAACATCTTTAAGACTTTTTCCAGGAGTTAGAAAGCTACCATGTAACTTTAATGCAGAATATTTTTTACAAAGAAACACTGAACACGTATTCCATTGAATAAAAGGTTATAATTTTATAAGTCTTAAATAATATTGCTGACAGCTCAGCTGAACAATGTTTCAGTAGGCAAACACCAAAATACTACCAGTTCTAGGCTTCATGTTCAGTTTATGATATTTTGACAATATTTTGGCAGAATTACAGATGAATATTTATCGACCACTTTCTTTTGCCTGTGCTTGTGTTAATAAAAACATCCTATGAACCACTGCACATATTTTACTGAAACTCTTAAGTAATCATTGGGTATACATCTTCAAGTGAGCCTAGAAAGTTACCACCATTCAAGATGGCCTCCACAGCCAGCGGACCATGCTGCCATAGCATGCTGAAATAAAAAAAAGCACAGTTGACCATAACTGAAACAATTTAACTGTTATGGAACTAAAATTAGGTGTGATGATAGATGTTATCCATCCACAGAACATAATCCAAGATCAAGATCTTTAATAGATTTGACCAAAACGTCTTTAATGCCATCATTTCTCAACATTGGATGATCTTAGTTTAAAACTCTGTCATAAAGGCAGATTGCATTCCTTCAACTAATGCTTTGCTTTAATTATGTCTGTTTTTGATAGTATGGAATAACAACAAAAAAATACTTGTTTGCATTTACCTTTAGAAAAGGTAAATTAGGCCCTTAGCCTCCCTCATCTGCTCCCCCAGGCACCCTAATAGCATTTCTCTGCTCCACACAGAAGGCTGTGGTAGCTCGGTGGTCAGTGGTTGCGTCAGGAAGGGCATCCGGCGTAAAAACAATTGTCAAGTCATTGTTTGAGTTAGTTTGCTCTGGTGACCCCTGAGGAAGGGAGCAGTCGAAGAAATAAGAAATAAATATTTACCCAAAATTTCCTGCCATTTGCTTTTTTCATCCGTCACTCATGTTTCTGCCCCGTGTTAGTGTTGAAGACCAAAACACAAAGCAAATAATGACTTTTTGACACTTTTGTTTGGTTGGATTTTTTTCCACTTTAGGTTGTAAAAAAGGCCACTGGTTAGTGATCAGCAGTAAGTTGATAATTCATATCGAGCAGCAGCAACACTTTGGGAACATCCTACTTGTTTTGGGCCTTTAAATAGGTCACTCACCCTTTTTCTCTGCTCATATTCATACATTTACAGCCCAAATATAAGTTTGAGTGTGGGGGGAAGCAGCGTGTCCTGGGCATTGCTATGTGGGTCATGCATCAGTGTTGCAAGCCAGCAAACAATCTGAAACGGAGATGCGAGCGCTGCTGATTTCATGCTTGTAAGCCGATCTGAGAAATTATTTCATTTTTGGCAACTCCCCCACCCACTTTGAGGCGGGGTTGCAAATAAGTGTCAGCCATCTACAAAGCCTTTTTTGCAGCCTGCTTACAAGTTACTGTTAATGATGGCTGATGGCATCATGTAGCAATCTACCCAGTGCAGAATAGACTCATTTGGTGTCATTTTTAAAGACCGTGATGTTTTCTGTAGCAGGAAATCCTCTGATTTTAGTATTTAGATCTGTCATGCATAGAGAAAAGGTAAAAGTAAAGTGTGCGTTTAGAGACAGAGGTCAAGTGCATTGCTTGTTGTGGCTCATTTGCACATCTATTTAAAGCTACAAACATGGCGCACGCTGCTGTTTCAGGTAACAACTTCCGACATGCATAGAGGCTCAAGATCTATATGCCTCTGATTAAAATCTGACGAAGCAAATCTACTGGCTGTGAGGCTCAGCAAGTTGCTGTGGGACATGAAAATGGTTTCTTTGGTTTCAAATAACCCATGAAAAACACAAGACTGGAAAGCAATTTGCTGACAACTGAAGTTCTTTGAAAAGCATTAGATGTATGAGAAAACCAGTGCGACTTCTGGAAATGAGCACTCAAGTGGGATATGGTCACAATCAAGATCAATTTGTTATTTAAGATTTTTCACTTTCCTTTGGCAGTTCAAATCCAGATATTTAAATAAAACTTGGACATCTCCATTGGACAGCGTTATATGGTTATTAAAAGGAAGAAACATAATGTATAATCAATAAAAAGTTCATTCTGATAAGCTTTTTTTTAGCATTCTCTTTACTGTTGCAAGCTTTTCTCTAATTCCTGGTTAAAATATTTTCATTATTGTTCTTTTATTTCATTTCTACACAGGAGTTCCTCAATTATCGCGGGGCTTGTTTTGCAGTAGCTACTGCAAAATTTGCTATAGGGACTCAC